GTGTCTTTTCCCCCACTTGGAGCCGAACCCAGAAGGACATTTCTTTCATCACCTTTCAACTCTCCAAATTAATTTCCTCCCCCCCCCCGCTCCCACCAACCCACACCACTGTGCCTTCAGTGTTTCCTTTCTCTCTCTCTACAACATAGGTGTACTCACACTTAAACCTCAGGGAACCCAAAACCACAAAGAAGGAAAATTCACACCAGCAGTCCGAAGTCCTTCCTTTCATAAAGGCTCTTCACGTTCTCTGCACCCTTTTTGCCCCTACTTCCTTCTGCAAGAGGTAATTTATAATTAGTCTCAGGTAGTTTGATTTGTATGTTGCGATACACCCAGAAACTTCGCTCCATTAGTTTTAGAGACTTCTCAATTTTTTTTAAAAAAAAACCCCAAACTTTTTGGCTAGAATTTATTGGAACAGATGGGTGTCTACTATTAGGCATCACTTGCTACAATTATTCTTAATGTTTAATAGTGGTATAATTGGAAGAAATGGTGATGTATGTTCCAATAAAATGCTTTCAGCAACTGCTTTAATTGTCAGATCCTGTAACTACAGCATAAAGCATTTTGTCCTGCTGATTGACATTTGACAGGCAGAAAAACCAATCCATTCTGTTCATCTCCATTTGTAGCTTGAACAGGCAGAAAGGTTCAAATCGGTGCACAATTTCCACTTGTACGAAGGATGCAAAACGTCTGATTTATATTAGATGGAAGCCTACAGTGCACTGAAAGGGTTTAGAGGTGGGGGGAGGGAGGGAGGGAGGGGCAAGGTGAAGAACATAAGTACTTAATTGCATGCCTTTGGGGCAATGGTGATGCACTGTTCCTTGCACAGCCATTCTCTTCTTCCCTGTGTTTCTTATTTCATACTCTCAAAAGGCCACAGGAATTTGATCACAGAAGAAACATTAATCTTACTATTCTCAGGAGGGCATTTCGAAGTTAAGTAACTGCCTAGGGAAGACCCTTCTCTTTCAAGAATGCACTATGCTGTTAGTCTGTGAAACATTCATAATGGAAAAATCTACACACACAGACACACACGCCATCCCACATCCCTCTATTGGCAAACAACTGAGCATTCCTAGCTATAGCAATTAGAAATGTACTATGTATCGGGTGGGCTTCAAAAATTTCAGCAACAGGATCTTTGCCCAGTTGCTGAGTGGGGCATGGCCTAATCAGCCTCTCCAGTTTATATTTCACATCTGAGTGATCCTTAATATATGCTGATATTTTAGCCATCTCTACTAAGTTTGTTACTTTTAATGTCCATTCTTGACATTAAAGAGACATTAAAGACATTAAGAGCCGAGGTGGCACAGTGGGTAGAGTGCAGTACTGCAGGCCACTTCAGCTGACTGCTAGTTTGGCAGTTCGGCGGTTCA